ATTCTAAACAATGACATTTCCTCAAAGCATTGCTGTAACAGGAGGAATGTATAATACATACCCTATTAGAATTTCATGAATGGCTGATACAGGGTAACTTTTGATCTAAAAATCTGATGATCCTTTAAAGAGCGGTCTTCTATGTGATTATTATTACAACTCATTAATTCAGCCTATGAAGCACATAACCCAAGTTCTATGCACATACCATTTTTTTTATAATTGTTGTTAGAGGCAATATAATTATCTTTTTTTTCATTAAGGTTTTTTTTTTTTTTAGAGCAGTTTTAAGCTCATAGAAAAATTGAAGGAAAGATACAGAGATTTCCCACATATCCCTGCCCCCGTTATCAGCCTTCTCCTCCTTCCACCCAATGGTACATTGGTTACAACTGATGAACCTACATTGACACATAATAATCTAATTAGGTGTATAGTGGTATCTCATTGTTGTTTTAATGTGCATTTCTCTGATGAATATGATGGGGAGCATCTTTTCATATGTTTATTTGCCATCTATATGTCTTTCTTGGTGTTTATTCAGGTTTTTGGCCCATTTTTTAATCGGATTGTTCATTTTCTTATTGTTGAGTTTGAGGATTTCTTTGTATATTTTGGATAATAGTCCTCTATCAGGTGTATCTTTGCAAATATTTTCTCCCGGTCTGTGACTTTTCTTCTTATTCTCTTGACACGGTCTTTTGCAGAGCAGAAGTCTTTAATTTTAACCTAGTCTAGCTTATCAATTATTTCTTTCATAGATTATGCCTTTGGTGGTGTGTCTAAAAAAATCCTTGCCATAACGCAGGTCACACAGGTTTTTTTCCTATGTTATCTTACAGGATTTCTATAGTTTTGAATTTTATACTTAGGTCTGTGATCCATTATGAAGTAATTTTTGTGAAGAGTATAAGGTCTGTATCTAGATTCAGTCTTTGGCACGTGGATGTCCAGTTCTAGAACAATTTGTTGAAAAGACTCTCACGGCTCCATTGTATTGCCTTTCCTTTGTCAAGGATCAGTTGAATATATATAATTGACTTTTGAGACATAGAAATACAAGCGGTAGACCCAAATAGAGGGCTGATGCTGATTTGCCAGTCCAGTGCCCATCACCTCAATATTACCCTGTATTATTTCCACTTTGGGTATGACTGGGGATTGTATGTAACCAAGAAAAAAAAGCAGTTAAGCACCCAGATGCAAGCTAAAGGAAGCATCTTGACATTACATTACAGGATATTCCAAATATATATATATATATATATATATATTTTGCTTATTATGGTAGATATTCTGATCTACTGCCACGTCTCATTCAGGACTGAGGACTTATTCTCCAGTTGCTGGGGCGGGGGGGGGCGGTTGTCAGCAGAAAGTTGGCAGATAACAGTACCCTCTCAGGCTTCAGGCTCAAGAGAGCTATTTGCCCAAACTCACAACCATTTTCCAGGGCAGCTGGTACCCAGTGACTGAACAATATGGGAATACGAAAGTCCAACCCCCTGGCCCCAGTCAGGGAAAAATCTGAAGGGTCATCTCGGCCTCACAACACCTGAGGCTTTCTTTGGAAATGACTGAACCCCAGCTTAGCTTCTCCTCCTGGCAAACTTTCTTCCACAGCTTCACTTTCACAGGAGCACTCCCTAATAAACCTCCAACCTGCTAATCTCTGTCAGAATCTGCTCCTCAAGAACTCAACCTGCAACAATTAGTAATTGAAGTTTGCACTGAACAACCATCTTTACAGAGAACTAAGAACGGAGGTAATAGGGCTAAAACTCAGGGTTTGGTAACTAGGTTGTGATACAAGGTGTGGGATTGACCAAAAATGGTTCTAAATTCTCACTGCCTGAGCAGTGAGCTCCCACCCCTTTCTCCCTGTGGGAGGTGTTGTATTACCTATGTGTGGGGACCGTCATATCCCAGGGCCCCAAATTATCTAGGGTTTGAGCAGCAGGTAATCTGAGACAGCTCCTATAAATAGCTAAAACCCCAAACCAGATGGCCTAGCACAAAAGTGGTTTAATTATTCCCCTGACGAAGCTGCTGTCTCACATCTACCCTACGTAAGGCAGAACAGCAGAGAGAGCAAGTTCTCTTCACTGGAACATAGGACCTCGCCCGCCCTGTGATCTCCCACATGTCTAGCAGACACTCGAAGCTCTTCAAGCCTCTCAGAGGGTACACAGAAGGAAGAGCAGGGGCTTCTCTTCTTTCACTGACACTGGCCTCGCTTCGCTTTCTCTTTCTCCACAAGTCTGTGCCTTCACCCCGTCAGCAGGGTTGTAGAGTTTATCTTGAATCTCCATGGCTGACAAATGGAGACGTCTATGGGATCTTCTTTATACAACAAGTGTAAGCATGAAGGCATGAATTCAGCTTAGTACCAATTATGACTTTTTTGAAAGGTCAAAGGGTTTTAATGGCTACTCTGTGGATAAAAACGATCCCAGCCGTGAACACAGATCACTGGGAGAGCCAGTAGAGGGGATGTGTTGGGGGGGGTTGGGAGGTGGGCTGAATGTCTCCAAAGTGTGAGAGAGGATAGCCTAGTGTGAGAAGTCGCCAGGGGCTGGCTAGATCTGACTGCCCTATGTGAAGTGAAAGCACCACCTGTCTGCAGGACCCCGAGGGATTCCTCACAGTTGCCAGGACTACGGCTAGATGGTCCAGGGAGAACATATCCTAGATGGAGGAACTACACCCAAGCTCAGCTTCTTCTGGGATCATTGGCTTCCTTCTCCTAGCAGGAGAGAATGCACCTTCCTCAGGTTTCCCAAATCTTCAGGGACTAGGCAGGCAGAATTCCCAGAAAAAGCTATAATCCTGAGGTACCTGGATGGCTCAGTCAGTTAAGCATCTGCCTTCGGCTCAGGTCATGATCCCGGCATCCTGGGATCGAGCTCCTTGCTCAGTGGGGAGTCTGCTTCTCCCTCCCTCTGCTGCTCTCCCTGCTCATGCTCTCTCTCACTCTCACTCTCTCTCTGTCAAGTAAATAAATAAAATCTTAAAAAAAAAAAAAAGCTGTATTCCAATCCAGATAGCCTGACTCCAGATTGGCCTGATACTTTCCCACAGTCCAGGGAGCTTATATAAGGGAAGAGTAGTAAAGTAAAGCATCTCACTGCTTTGTGAGATGATGGGAGGAAGTACCTTCTCTCCACTCTGACCCTGACCTCATGCATCTCCTCTTCTTCCAGAAGTCATTCCTTAACCAGAACTACAGGACATTGTGTAAATCATCCCAGGTCCTGGTACAAGGAAAGCCCGAGATGGGTGCCACCTTGCCCACAAAAGATCATCTAGTATTTCTTGCAAAAAATATCTTACAAGCTTATGTATAGCTTTACCTTTTAAAACGCGTTCACGTGCATTAACTCAGTAAGACCCACATCAGCCTGATGAAGTTGGCAAGGGACATATTACATAATCCACACATTCTCAGAAAGAAAAATTGGAACACAGGATTGGATCAAGGACATTTTCCTTCTTGATATATGAAAAAAATAAGTCTTATAAATACACAGAGCTTGAATCACAGCTACTTACACATGTAATGAATTATCTTTTTAAAAAAGGATAAAAGTAAATGAAGCTTGTGCTACCACAGAAGATCCTGGAATTATGGTCAGCATAGTTATAGGGCATGAAATAAACCTTGCAGCTGGCTCTACAACTTTTGATAAAAGCTGTAAGGAGAGAGAGGCCAGACGTTCAGAGACTCGGATGAGAGGAGTTTGGAGAAAAGGAGCTAAAGTTGAGAGAAAGTGATTGATAGTGAAGGACAGACCAGTCTATGATTGGTATGGTTGAGGCAAGGCAGGACGCTCCATGTAGTCTAGAAATGCAAAACAACTTCAAGAATGTTCCTCCAATATACTGCCTGACGTAGCCCCCAGGATAACGTGGCCTTAGTGGAAGAGTGAGCACTTCCTCCTCTTCAGAAATGCCTGCTTTATTTCTCCTACCCTTGAAACAGGACACCATTTCAATACAATAAGATCCATTCAATAAACACACTTATCAGAGGCCCACATGCTGCTAGATATTTGTTGGAGGCCAAATATGAATAAGCCCTAGTTTATTCTGTGAAACAGACCCATCAATAAGTCATCACACTAGAGTAAGATGAGTAATGGAAATGGGTCTCCTACTTTTGCACTTCGAAGAGCGTGACTAACAGCTGCTGATCTGAGAATTAGCAAATATTTTGCTTTCTACACATACCTGCCTCTATTGGTGGGGGGTCCACCCCACTGAGTCAATCTTCCTACAAAATTAAGAAGGCACATGAGTTTTATTCTTCCGGAACTGTGCCTTTACCTTGTACTATAATAATGTTGTCACCAGGAAGCTACGCAGGATTGTCCCTCTGAGTTTGTTACTTTTCATAGAATTACTGGTTTTTAAACGTAGAGGGGATCCCCAGAGACTGACTACCCCAACCTCCACACTGCACAAAATCCCCTTCCCCAAAGTCCTGACAACCAGTCATATGAACAGGGAGTAGAGTTTTGTCCGCTTCCTTTGTTGGCGCTGAAGTGATTTACTTTAGTACAAACACTTCAAGCACAGCGCATTCTGGGGAGTGAGGATCCACAGGATGCATTTCCTCAGCACAAAACTGCTTCTAGAAACCCCGGAAGGCCCCCATGCCACCCCTATATGGGACATACTCATAGAGCAGATGTTTTCTAGTTTTAATTTTTGTGAACTCTCAGATGGATTAGGCTAAACATCTCTGAACTTTATTCATAATTGCTACGGTAGGTAATTTGTGCCTGTGGTAACAGTAATTGGAGCTGTTAATGAAAATGAAGACTAATTAAAAAAAAAATTCTAACTCAGGCTGAAGTGAAAATATGGAGGATTCACAGGTGAACTGTATCTAAGTTTTCCTTCGCTATTCCCGAGGACAAATATTACTTTGGTTGAAATAAGAAAAAAGTGCATTTTCACACAGGCTTGTACTTTGGTTGTGCATTTGTTGAACATACCTGCAGCCCTTCAATAGCCAGTTTGAGGATTGAAGGGGTCAGTTTGGAGGCTTGTTTGAAGGAAAAATTACTCCAGTCTATAATTAAAATGAAGCCATTTATCTGAAGCTCTGGATCTTCGATAAGGACTTCTAGGGACAGCAGGATGGCACGGAGGATGTCGGTGAAGGAGTTCCTGTAGCCAAAGCAGAAAGGAGAGGCTGGGTGTGAATATTAGCAGGTAATACGTGTGTGGAGGGAAGGGTGCCTCACGCCACTGCTCCGTGAACCTGACCTGCAGGGTAACACGGGTGTCCTGTACCCAAAGTGACCACAATATATTTTCTAAACAGGAACAATGCTTCAAGAGTCACAAGATAGAGGCCTCCCTTTGATCCGACTGTATCATCACCCGAAACTTTACAGGGTATCTCTCTGTAGTGTTTCCATTGGCTTCCGTACTCCGCTTCTGGCACAAAACTGAAATCCATCCCTTACTTCTCTCTCTCCCTCACAGAGCTCTGTTAACTTCGAGGGCAGGGAGTGGGCCATAATCACAGCTGTGTCCTCAGCACCTAGCTCCTCAGTGAATCATTGCTCAACAAATGAGGGGAGACCTCAATCAGAGGCACTTATTTTGATTAAACCCCGTATTCCTTTCGTATGCTTAAAATCTTGCTAAAAGTATAAAAACATCCATGCGATTGATGCTATTTTTTTAGCTTCAGTTCTTGGATAGAGAAAAATAAAGCAGGAAGAATGGCTTGTTTTCATTGAAGGTTTGCAGAGTGTGATTCAGGAGGGAAATGGCTTTGAGTACATCAGTAACTATGACAACAGGCAGACCTGAATATAAACGAGAGTGACAGTTCTCCAGTGTGGTATGTGTTCCTCCATGTCATATATCCCTATTCATCAGATGATTTTTGTGTTAAATAATTCTCAGATATGAAGAAATGATGGCATTTTCATTCTGCTAATTCTCCCAACAAATTATCTGAGCTATAAATCTAAAATCTTAGAGGATCTCTAAATTCAGTGTATTTTTTGGTAAGTAGGAAAATATAAGCTTGGATGGCAAGTAATGGCAAAATTCATTACCTCCTTTGGGTTTAATATTAAAATCAGAAGGCATCTCCTCTGTGAAATAAGTGTGAAATGATCAGGTTCAGGGGCGCCTGGGTGGCTCAGTGGGTTAAGCGTCTGCCTTGGGCTTAGGTCATGATCCCAGGGTCCTGGGATCCAGCCCTGCGTCGGGCTCCCTGCTCAGCGGGGAGTCTGCTTCTCCCTACCCCTCTGCCTGCTGCTTCCCCTGCTTGAGCTCTCTCTCTATCTCTCTGTCAAATAAATAAATTAAAAATCTTAAAAAAAAATAAAAATAAATGATCAGATTCTCGGGCATTTCAACCTGGTTCAAACTCTAACCAATTCCAATGATTCCAGATTAGAAATCAGGAACTTTGTGATCGAACAGTAAATCAATAAGAATTTACTGAATGTCTATTATAAGCTCAGCATTGTGTTCTATACTTAAGGTTATAAAATAGTATGTTCTATTTCTATTTTCAGAGAGCCCTTGATTTAGTTGGGGTGGGCTAGGAAATTAGCAACATGAGTTGAAAAGGATCAATAAAATCTGAGTAGTCAGGGAGGAGATTATGGAGGGATGAAAGCTTGGGATAAATCTTAAAGGATGGGTTGGATTTCGATGGATAATTGGGAGAAGGGGGAGTAAGACATTTCAGGAAAGATGAATGACAACAATTGAAAAATAAAGATGTACTGCTTCTGTACAGTTCTCTTTAGTAAAATTTTTTTTCTTTATATCAAGCTAAAATTTTCCTCCCCCAAATCTACTTAATGGGTGTAGTTTTGCTACAAAAGAAAAACCTCAGGTCTTCCCATGTCACATAGCTTCAACTATGTAAACATGGTGATCATGATGCCCTATATAATCTCTAGATTAAAAAAATATTAGTAACTTTAACCATTTCTCATAGGAAATGGTTTTTAATACTCTTCTCATCATTACTGTTTTCTTTCAGATGTGTTTTCTTTTAACTTTAAGAGATATCAAATTCCTGGGGTGCCTGGGTGGCTCAGTCGGTTAAGCAACTGCCTTTGGCTCAGGTCATGATCTCAGGGTCCTGGGATCGAGCCCCGCATCGGGCTCCCTGCTCGGCGGGAGGCCTGCTTCTTCCTCTCCCACTCCCCCTGTTTGTGTTCCCTCTCTCGCTGTCTCTCTCTCTCTCTGTCAAATACATAAATAAAATCTTTTAAAAAAAAGAGAGAAAGAGATATCAAATTCCGATTAATATACGATAGGTTTTCATTAGGATTTTGTTTTTGTTTTTGCATCCACATCAAACATAAAGACCAAAGTCTTTTTCAGACATACAGCTTTGTATTGGGAAGAAACATTAAGTGGAGCATGAGACTAAAGATAATGAAAACATGGAAAGGCCTAATAGTAAACTGGAAATGGCCATTAGGGAATTAGAAAGTCTGACCATAGATAAGCTTTCTTAGGAAGAGCACACACATGGAGAAAATCAGGACTAAAAGGCTAAGCCCTAGGTAGAGCTTATTTATAGTATTGAGTCAAAGGAAGAAGAAAGAAATGATAAGAGGATCAAGATAGCATTGGGTTAAAAAAAGAGAAAGTGTTTCAAGAAATAAGGGTATGATAGATTGCAAATGTTACTACTTGTTCTTTTGCCTTTGGACGTTGCCATGGTAAAAACATGCTACATCTAGCATGCTGGACTGAAGAGAAGGTTGAGGAACACAAATCAGTGACTCCCCAGCCAGCTAGCAGATCTTCCTGAGAAGCAGCGCCACCCTGCTGAAGTAAGGCTAGATAAACTCAAGCTGTCTCACAGATGCATGAGCAATAATAAATGATTATTTTTTTAAGCCTCTGAGTTTGAGGATGATTTTTTACACAGCAATAGCTATCCAATATCAGAGGGTAAGTTAACCAAGTCAATGCAACAGCGTAAATTAGAACTAGCACCTCTTCTCATCACTTATCCACTTGTACCACTCCCGAGAAAAGATATGGAACTCTGTCTAGAAATGTGGAAAACATTTTATGTATTTTCAACACCAAAACCTTACGGCAAGATAGGCATTGTCAGTGAATGAAGTTATTATATTCATGGGATGATCTCAGGAGAAAAGCGAAAGGATTCTGGACTTCATTATAGTTCCCAAATGTTCAAATGCTTCACTTTTCCAGAGGAACTGGATGAGCAGGAAAAAGTTGAATGGAATGGGTTTCAAGTCATCAGCTTTAACCCCTGTTGAAGAGTACAATCTCACCTCATACCTTAGTTATGATCATTATCTTGAATTCCTTACTTCCTGGCTTCCTCATATGGATTTCCTCATCTTTTTATTCATTCCTCCCTACAACACTTTTGACTTGTGAAATCCTCCCAGGTTTTTACAATTTAAAAATACCTCTCACACCAAATATTTTATGCACATACTCTGCCCTCAAGGAGGTTGGAGCATAAATCTCCACTCCTTAAGTGTGAGTTGAGCATAGTGACTTCCTTCCAAAGACTACAGAATGGAAAGGGAAAAAAAGTAAGTTTACCCTGGAAAAAACTGACAAACACTACCTCAGGCAGGTGATTTGGGCCAACATCAACAGAGATAACTTGTGTTGATAGTATCGTCCCTTGACAGGGTAATGAAAATGGCACTTTACCTCTATGATCTTCCTCCCAAAAGAATATAACCCCAGGTTAATCAAGAGGAAAACATTAGACAGATTTCAGTTGAGGAACATTCTATGAAATGCCTGACCAACATGCCTCAAAATTGTCAAATTCATTAAAAAGCAAGGAAAGTCTGAGAAACTGTGACAGACAAGAGGAGCCTAAGAAGACATGAAGATTAAATGTAATGTGGTATCTTGTGGGATCCTGGGACAGAAGAAAGATATCAGGTAGAAACTAAGGAAACCTGAATAAATTATGGACTTAGTAAATTAAAATGTATCAATATTGGTTTATTAGTTGTAATAAATACACTATACTAATATAAGATGTTAATAATGGGGGAACTGGATGCAGGGAATAGGGTAGCCCTCTGTGCTATCTTCATAATAATTATGTAAATCTAAAATTGCTCTAAATAAAAAAGTCTTTTTAAGTGCTTAGTAGAGTTTGTAATCTGTCGTGCTAAGTTTCCATGAATCTTCTATCAAGGTTTCTAAGTAAACCAAAGTGGTCATGAACAATTCAGCTATTATAAGTAAATTATAGAAATGAGAGCAGAAGAAGACATTTCCAGAATTTGTTCATTCTACTAACTTATTTAGATTTATATGTTGTTTAATAACTCACAGAAAAAAATTTATTTTCTGTATTGTCTACAATTACAATTCCATCAGAGTATTTTATCACTTGTATCAAAAGGAAAAGATGAAAAATGGACATTTAGAGTTTTTGACACTTTCTCTATAATTTGCATAGCATTTATATAGTCAGTTATGGACTGTATCAGTTTTTGATTGATAATTAAAAGCACAAATGTGGGGGTGCCTGGGTGGCTCAGTCGTTAAGCGTCTGCCTTCGGCTCAGGTCATGATCCCAGGGTCCTGGGATCGAGCCCCGCATCGAGCCCCGCATTGAGCCCCGCATCGGGCTCCCTGCTCCGCGGGAAGCCTGCTTCTCCCTCTCCCACTTCCCCTGCTTGTGTTCCCTCTCTCGCTGTGTCTCTCTCTGTCAAATAAATAAATAAAATCTTTTAAAAATAAATAAATAAATAAAAGCACAAATGTGATAATATATATGAAAGCACTATATGAACTACAAATTGCCAACAAAATGTAAATAACTGTATTATTCAACAGTTAGTAGAAAACTTCAACTTCCTCCCCCCTCCCCCAAGGATAATACATTTAAATTCATTAGGGCTTATTCATGGTTTATCTAAGGGTTTTCATCATTATACTATAAGCACTTAGAGATTATAAATAGTGGCTCATTTTTAGGTTCTATTGTTTTTATGAGCGGAGAACCCAATATTGTTATCTGAGGCTTAAAAATTTAGCAACAGCATAATATAAATGAGATGCAAAATAGTGGAAAATAGTAAGCCCTTTACCAATGAGAAGATATTTGAGCTTCAAGAAGTGACTCCTTTGTGCTTTAAATTTTTAGTATAGATTCTAGAACCTAG